TACCTCGTCTAAGTTTGTCGACAGTATCCGGTCATGTGACCTCTTTGTTCAGTACTGTATATATATATATATATATCCGTGTCAGGGTAAATTATTTGTACCTGATGATGACAAAACCTTGTCGAAACATTGTACATTTGCTGTTATGTTAAACTTTTATTAAAATTTTTCTTCATTACTCATTCAAGCCGTCTCCAACCATTAAAGGTCATGTTAATTTTAGCCTTTTTGTCCAGTCCAATTATTTTACTTTAAAGGTCATGTTAACTTCAACCTTTCTATCCAGTCCAATTATTCTAGTTTTAGTTATAGTCATGTTCTCGATCAGTAATGTAAATGGTGTGTTTAACTCATAATTTGGTCCCAAAAGTACACATATACGTGACGTGTGAAGGAAAATGAAATGTACATGTGTTTAGTTTGGTGATATCCTCAATATAATATGCGTGTGTTTGGTTTGGTGATATCCTTTATATAATGTGTGTATGTTTAGTTTCTTGATATCTTCAGTATAATGTATATGTGTTAAGTTTGGTGACATTGCCTTTGATGAACAAACATTATCAAAAACAAGTCTGTGGATAATAGAAAACAGTCTATACAGGCAACTCTAATAAAACGTACAATGAAAATTAACACTAACCACAACATTCCAGCGCCATGGGCAGTACAAAATAATTGTTTTTCCTGTTATTGTCCGTCGCAGACTTTAGAGGATCCACAGCAATGATGAGATAAGACTCCCAGTGAGGGTGGGGCTGCCGCTCACTCCACAGGACAAGATGTGTCACGTCAAGTTCTATTGCCCCACCTGGTGGAATGGCGCTGCTTGTGAAATTCCCAGTGGGGTTTACCAGCCTGTTCCCTTTGTGAACGATGATGTCAGTAACGTTATATTGCAGTAATGCAGGGTTGGTTTGTTCGCCACCTAGCGGCAGCATGTCTTCATAGTTATATGCACGGAGGTAGGCCCATGTTTGAAGTATCTTCATCCCAGTCCTTTGACGGAATACAGCATTTCCATTATTCTTCACCAGTATCTGAAAACAGAAGAAGCATAATGTTGATATTAATAATATGCATTGTTGTTTTGCACCGCATCAAAAGTGAGCCTCTATTCCACGAGTAGTCACATCCTAACTCACCTTCAGTCCACCAGGTATTTGATCTTTGATTGGTTTATCCAAATAGTTTAGTGGAAAATTTTTATAAGTCGTCTCGAAACTGTCGTTATTTGCGAAGTTTATAACTGTTCCATTGGCAAACTGGACTATTAGCTCGAGATCCACACCTGAAAAAAACACACAAAAAAACACGATAGTCCTTATTTGACTCTTTAATCACTATCCATCAATTAATTTGTTTGTTTGTTAAACACAAAACGAGTTATACAATAAGATATGTGTGTTCTGCGCTCACCGTGGGTATCGAAACCATAATTCTAACGTTATAATAAAACACAGTTATACTTCGTACTACTCAACTTACTGAATAAAACACAGTTATACTTCGTACTACTCAACTTACTGAATAAAACACAGTTATACTTCGTACTACTCAACTTACTGAATAAAACACAGTTATACTTCGTACTACTCAACTTACTGAATAAAACACAGTTATACTTCGTACTACTCAACTTACTGAATAAAACACAATTATATTGGCCACGTCTTTTAGACACTAATAAGTAGTTTGAAATAATTATTCATGGATTTTGTCCGCTGTTTATGAGAGCACCTCGTGACAATTGAGGATATGGCTGTAAACTTCTTTAGAATTCTGTATTTATTCATAATTTCGAGCACTCAGGTGGCTCATCGGCACACTCGAGGGCTTATGCCGATGACCTACCTTTAATTAATGTTTTAATAAAATGTTTTTGTTTTGTGTTTAAACGCAAAGCTACACTATGGACTACTTATGCTGTGCCCACCACGGATATAGAAACCCGATTTTTGGCGTTATAAGCCCACCAGCTTACCCCCGAGCCACTGGCGAGGTGGAGTGAAGAAAGTTTTTTTTTTATTTTGTACATTCTACGATACAAAATATGATCACATAACACCTAATATTTTTTCTTTTTCAAAATTATTTGTTTCACAACCGTCAGTAAATAACAGTTTACTAATTTCCACAATAGATTCAACCATAAACCATAATCAGATCAATTTTAGAGAATCCTTAAAACACGGATTTTAGCGATACCCCTAGTGGGCACAGCACAAACAGCCCATTGTGTAGTTTTGTGCTTAACTACAAACAAATTCATTCATTAATTTTCAGTATTTTCGAATTTGTTAAAGTTCATGTCATCCCGTTCTTCCCTTCCCCGTGGTTCTCCTGGTTTAAAATGTCACATAACAAAGAAGGACAACAGAGAACACTGTAAAACATCGCTGAAAAAAAAAGTACGTAATGTAAAGAATAAAACAGCAATTATGAGTATCCAACAATATATATTTAGTGGCATATTAAGCCTATAAAAGCCGGATGTGACTTAGTAGTTAGCGTACTTTGAACCACAGAGTTCATGTTTTGAGACCTGTTGCCGCAGTTTGGGGCTGTGGGTGCGCTATAAGGGTGTTATTCAAACACCACAATTAAATTATACGCAGAAAACATTTAGTTAGGTTTGCACAAAATTCTGAAAGAAACAATAATTATCTTAACTTTGGCATTACGTACAACTAAATACCAACGTATTCACACTACTTCTTTATCGATAATGTATACATTTATTTGCTTTGTTTGTTTGTTGTTAAGCTCAAAGCCACACAAATTGGGCTATCTATGCTATGCCCATCACAAGTACAGAAATTCGATTGTTAGCGGTATAAGTCTACTGGCTTAAAGCGGAGTCACTGGTTGGGGGGCATAATGTATATAATTTTGTTATGATGTTATAATTTTCCATTCTGTATTTCCTTGATACCCTCGGTGAACATAACGCAGGTAACCGATTGTGTAGTTTTGAAACACATTTTCAGTGTTGATTAAAGAAAACTTGTTTCTATCACAATGAATTTCTTGGACTACCCCCTTGGATTATGAGTTATACTTGCTTAAATCGCTTTTTACTGATCGAAATTTTGAAATTTGATTTTTGAAGTTCAAAACGGTGAAAATGGTCTTACCGTCCTCATTAAGACACGCAAGTTGAAACATGGAGGTCATGGAACTGATAACTTCTGTTTTACCTCCCTCGGTCTTTTGAAGTTCGGCCACAAAACAAGCTTAAAAGAAAAAGTTTTTTTTAAATAAAAGAATTGTATGATTTGACTTTTAATATTACATTTGTTGCATTAATAACGATATTAACTTCTAAGCATCCACTATAACATAAAATTGCACCATTGTAAAAATATTAGTAATTACTTTCAATAAATATAATTAAAATACAGTATGAGATAGAAATATATTCAGTTCAGAAAGTTGGAGATGTAAACAAAAAGCAAAAATAAACCTCGTAACTTACCATCTCCACAGAATTCAACTGGATCCATCGTAATGGTATCTAATGTAACTTGAATGGATGTGTTTGAATCTGTAAAATATACGCCTATTTACTGATCTCTAAATTGATAAAAAATTAGTGCAAAAGTTAAGTTAATAAAAAGTAAAAAACAGTGTTAAGGTAAGTTGATAAAGAGTAAAAAACATTGTTAGATAACTTGACATAAATATACACGAGAGGTTAGATAAGTTGATAATGTTAAGGTAATAATGGCTGGAGACGGCTTAAATTGGTAATGAAGAAAAACTTTAATATAAGTTTAACATGACAGCAAATGTACAACGTTTCGACAAGGTTTTGTCATCATCAGGTACCTTTTCATTTTCTTCATTACCCATTTAAGCCGTCTCCAGCCATTATTAGTCTCAAAGTGGGTTCCTCGTCATCGAAAATGTTAAGGTAAGTTGATAGAGGGTAAGAAACAATGTTAGATAAGTTGATAAGATTGACCACCAGAGGTTACATAAGTTAATAAAAAGTAAGAAAAAGTGCTTAGATAAGCTGATAAAATTAATCACTAGTGTTTAAATAAGCTGTAAAATGTAAGAACAAATACTTAAATAAAGTCACAAGGTAAGTATTAGTTTTAAGATAAGTTTATAATCGTAAGTACCAGTGTTTAGATAAATTAGAAAGTGTTATAACAAATGTTTAAATGTATTCATAAGTTATATTAGTATTAAGGTAAGTTGATAAGAGTAAGCACTGATGTTTAGGTATATTGGTAAGAGTAAGACTAGTGTTTATATCAATTGGAAAGTGTAATAGTAAGTGTTCAAATAAATTCATAAGGTAAGTATTAGTTTTAATATAAATTGATAATAAAAAGTACCAGTGTTTAGATAAGTTGATAAGATTAAACTCTAGTGTTTATATCAATTGGAAAGTGTAATAGTAAGTGTTCAAATAAATTCATAAGGTAAGTATTAGTTTTAATATAAATTGATAATAAAAAGTACCAGTGTTTAGATAAGTTGATAAGATTAAACACTAGTGTTTATATCAATTGGAAAGTGTAATAGCAAGTGTTCAAATAAATTCATAAGGTAAGTATTAGTTTTAATATAAATTGATGATAAAAAATTAGCAGTGTTTATACAGACAGATAAAAATTAGTATCTGTGTTCACAAAATATATTGGTATAACTGAAAATCGGTTTATATAAGTAACGATAGATTGATACAAATGTTGATTTTCACTAATTTAGCCTGTTAGACGTTCAGTGATAATAAGGCGATTAAATCAAATAAAATTACTTTAGTATTATTTACAATTTTGAAATGGAATGAAATATGTGAATTAATGGTTAAAAACAGTGTATTTTTTGTTTATTAATGTATTTTTTACGGGTTTGGTTTTAGTGCTCATCATATTTTAAACACTACAATCTTTACTCAGTCTCTTATGGTTTTTCAAAAACAAGAAATGAGTATAATAATATTTCAACCATACTGTATCCGCCATATACATTGCGAAAGACGCGTTTCGCTCAAAAACAGAGCTCATCAGGCCAACTGGGACGCAACAAATACAGTAGTGGTCGGAACACTATATATATTATAACAATTGTTGTGGTGTGAAGGCCTTTACTTAGCTGGCGGAGCATGGTTATACTTAATTACGCTTCTATAAGATATTAGTATTACTATTAGTGTTAGGCCTAGAAGCCTGTTCTGAGTGAAATGTGTAGTTGTCAATGGATATGGCGGACATAATATCGTACACTTTTCTTCATGGAAGGAACTCAATAAAAAATGTAGTGTTAAAAATATTACAGCCCAGTATTAATGGCACATTATGAGTATAATAATGCTTTACAAGCTTAGGAAAGGCGTTCACACCATAACAAGATACTTTACTATTGAACTTACTGTATTGAACAGGTATTGTTCCAAGTTTCGTAGCAGAACTTGTAGGGCTTTCGACGTCAGGTGACAGAGATAGATATACAATGATATCATAGATGGCGTTGGCACTTGTTGTAGCTGTTTCAGAGTCGGGTACAGCAAGTGTGCCTATGTTTATTATAAAATTGCATATATCCTGGAAGTATAATTATTTTATTAATACCCCAAAATATTCAACAATGTTGCAGCACATTGGGAAAATTCAGTTTAGTGACTAAATTCCTTCTTATTCTACTTAAATCGTGCGAGAGCGATAATGTATTTTAAGTCCTAGAACTATAAGTCAGATTAAAAATGAAACAATCCTTATCTGTAAATACTGACTTCAAAAAAACATGTAAAAATCTTGCGAACAGTTTATAATAATTTCAAGCTCTGTTCTTAAAGTTATTTCAATCCCAGGCTCTATTCCTGACCGTTTACACAATCATAGTTGTAGGTCATCTTCCACTTATAACTTATGGTCAAACAAAGAAACTGTTTTATATTTTTGTCATTTCTGAAAATTTTCAATTTTTATTTTCGGCCATCTTGATGTGTTATTAAATCCTCAGAGAATGATAAAATCAACGAATCTGTTAACCAGGAACTTCGTTCAAGAATCATCAGCGATTTGTTTAAATCCAACTATCATAATAAGTCAAATCATCAACTGAGTTTTTGTTAACTATATACGAACTTAGTCCACGATCATAATGAATTGACCCATCAACTAAAATTCTGATAACAAGGAAGCTCATCCAAGTCACTAACGATTTATTTAAATCTAGCAATCATAGTTTCTCTGGCAACTTTAACAAAATAAAAGATTTCAGACGTAAGTATGCATATCTAAAATAAACAAACAAACAAAAAGAATAAGTTTTTCAACAACTGCTCGTCTCTAAAATAACTAGAGACGTTATTTTCAGATCGTATCACATTTTTATATTATTCTCATTACTTTCACATATATATATATATATTTATCGTAAAAGGTCCAGCATGTCCAGGTGGTTATGGCGCTCGACTCGCAATCTGCGGGTTCGAATCCCCGTCCCACCAAATATGCTCGCCCTTTCAGCCGTGGGGTGCGTTATAAGTGACGGTCAATCCTAATTCGATGATAAAAGAGTAGCCCAAGAGATGACGATTGGGGGGGGGGTGATGACTAGCTGCCTTCCCTCTAGTCTTACACTGCTAAATTAGGGACGGCTAGCGCAGATAGCCCTCGTGTAGCTTTGCGCGAAATTCAAAACAAACAAACAATCTAGTGTTCTTATGCCACCTTCAATTACAATAGCCAGAGATAGGGATGCGGGGTGTAGGAGGTGCTGTCCAGTTTTGGTCCTGAAATGAATGAGATCTTCGGGGTTCATGACACCCCCTCAACTTCAAAATCGTTCCCTCTTTCACTACCAAGGGTCATTTTCGTCCAAATCATCAGCTACGGTTTTCTTACGTAACCAAGGGAAGCAGCTTTCTTCTAAAAGACAGGCTTCTCAAACAACAACAGGCAGTTCTATCCGACCACCATTATAATTATACTTCAAACTATCAAAAACAATTTTGTTCAGTAATCGTAAAAGTGGATTTCTTAAGCAAATATATATAAAGCTTTTAAATAATACAAACAACAATCTATAGCGCACACTCTTACCGTTATACTAGATCTTTCGGTTGGGGTTTTCCACATTGGTAAACCTTTATCTGGACAAGAAAATGATTCCAAATAGGGCATAGCTGAAAAAGAAGAAAATATTATAATGATATGATTTAATGCAATAATTAAAGCCTTATAAAGAGTAAGAATACCCGCATTCCATTGCTCATGATGTCAGAAAAACACGTAGGTTCAAGTTTGGTTTGTTTGGAATTTCGCGCAAAGCTACACGAGGGCTATCTGCGCTAGCCATCTCTAATTTAACAATGTAGAACCAGAGAGAAGGCAGCTAGTCATCACCACCCACCGTCATCTCTTGGGCTACTCTTTTATCGACGAATAGTGGGATTGACCGTCACATTATAACGCACCCTCGGCTGAAAGGGCGAGCATGTTTGGTGGGACGTGGTTTCGAACCCACAGATTGCGAGTCGAGCGTCCTAACCACCTGGACATGTAGGTTCAAGAAGTCTTAATATAAAAACGATAAAAGCCCTATAACACGAGCATTTTCGAAAGGTGGAACTTTCTTCTTGAGGGGTAAACTATTTCATTGTTGATATTGCTACCTGTGTATTATTTGTCGTCATTTCTACCCACTTTCTTTTCTTGGTTATTAATAAGTATCTGTACTTTTTACATTCTGATGAAGGGATTAGGCCTGAAACATTGATTTTTAAACAAATGTAGAATGTGTCTAACTTTCACGATTTCCTATAACTTTGTCAGCGATGTGGTAATATCATAATTGTACTTGATTTCAACTTTTTCCGTTACTTTTACAATACTTTCACTGAGATTCCAGTTGTGACAGGTCATTATCAGAAGTGATAACGACGGGTGATTTTAAAGCTAAATTCTTGTCCAGCTTTTTATGTTTTTGGGCTATTTGGGTAATGCTTGTCTTACCGTATTTTACTTGAAATTCAAATTATATATTATTTTTAATGTCTAATTTCCCATTTAATTTCATTAAATGTGATTGCTTTGACTGGTTGTGCGTTTCTTCCTTCTTAAATCACTAGAGCTGAGTTCACTCACATCAAATCCTTCGAGCCTCTCGTTTCGGTTTGTTTACTTATGAGATAAATATTCCACAAGTTGAAATACTATAGCTTTACAATCATAACGAGTAGACGAACTATGATCATAGAAGAACAGTTATAAAATATCTTTAGTTTAAAACAAGTTTTTCAATCATAAAGGGTGGTTTAATAAAACATTCGCAGTTCAACTGTGGAAAGCGATGAACGTGGCCAAATGGTTAGCGTACGTGGACCGTGAATCCGGAGATTCAAGGTTCGCGATCCATTAGGTCCGTAATTACGCTATAAGAGTGACAGTCAAATATCCCTATTTGTTCAGAGGAGAGTAGCCAAAGGGTTGACGGAGGGTGTTGTTAACTAGCTGCTAGAATATACCCTATCAGTTCAAAAGTAGGAACGTCTATGCGCAGATAGCCCTTGTTTAGCTTTGCGAGGAATTCTGAAAAAACCAAAAACCTGGAGAAAATTCGTTGTCTATCTTCTGAACTTTATATCTAAGGAGTGAATTTGTCTAGCTGAAAAAGGAATAACAAGAATTAACGGACAGTTTAATACAAATTTTGTTTTAGCAGGTGCTATTTTCTTTGTCAAAACGTCATTTTTTCCTGTACATCAGGATGGTTTGTGAAAACGAGGTTTGAACGTGCGTGAAGAGCGGTAATTTGAACATATCAGTGTTTTGAATTCTATTAATTTAAAAGGTTTTATTTTATTTGTTTCGAGTTAAGCACAAAGCTACACAAAGGGCTATCTGTGATCGAAACCCGGTTTCTAGCGTTGTAAGTCCGCAGACATACCGCTGTGCCACTGGGGGCTAATTTAAATAGAACGTAGCACAAATGTACGCCTTCTATAACATTATGATTAGAAATTGTTGAAATTTTCAGTCGGTTAATTATCCTTGATGCTAATTGTTAAGTTACGCTAAGCTGCTAATTTTAGTTACTTGTAGGTTTCCGTCTGAAAGGTTCATAAATTCACGACGTCTGTTCAAGGATAAACAAATCGATACTATAAATTTTCCTTTGCATACATCAAGTTTGTCTGTGTTCACCATTGAAAGCCAAGAATACAAATGTAAGCACATGGTTCCCTGGAAAGGCTACAGTTTAGTTTATGGGTAAACATTTAAAGAGTTTGCAATCATTAAAATACTGTTGTTTATTAATATACGTATTTTGTATTACTGTTTATAAATCTAATCAAATGTGGTCACTTTCACTTTATTTTGATGCCTGATTTCTTTTTTAACACTTTCCTTCACGCTTAGGTTTACTTGGTTGAATCAGTCTGACTTTATTGAACATACTCTGTATTAAATGTAAAGTATTTTTATTTGTATTTAACGAAGTTGATTTTAAAAAGTGTCTAAAGGGACATTAGTGCATAAGATTTCTTTTCTGACATTGCATCAGCGGTGACAGTAGTTTCGGCCATTTCCAACTGCTAGGAATAACTGGGCAAAATGACATAATACGGTTTTAAGTTTTTTTTCGTAGGAATATTTTCTGTCAACTTCCTTAATGGGGGAATATAGGAAATTCTGCTGAGTTTCTTTCTTATTCTTCTGAGATGCAAGATCTGCTCAGCTTGTCTATCCAGGCGGATGTTATTTGTATGATAGGTAGATCAACACATGTCTGTTTCTATTGGCTGGACGGGTTTATTTTTCTCTCAGTCAGTGACTGATAGATTATCTTGGCAAATATTTATCTAAAAGTACTTGACAAAATATGGGAATCATGGTTTTTATATAGATCTCTTTGACCTTTTACGTATAAGGTTTATCCACGTGAAATGAAATATTTCGAACAACAACAAAAAAAAAGAAAACAACACATCAAGTATAGAATTAGTTTGAATTCTGCAGTACAACTGACGGTAACAACGAAACAGGTTTGCAAGGGTCAGTCTTGGCAGTGACCCTATCACCAAAACATTCTGTCAGAACTTGAAATTGACTGTAAAAACAAAATGATTGAACCTTAGAGTAACTTTATTCTGTTCACACATAAATCTTCCTTAATCGGTGTGATCTGAAGATACTGTAAAGTGAGGGGACATATTACATATCAATTTTTAGTAGGGGGAAGGTTTAGGAGCCATTAATTACTACCGTACTTTGTATTCTGACTGGAAAAACCGTACGATTATTGTAATTCTTGAAACTAAAATCAAATATCTATAGCTAGTAGAGTCTCTCTTTCTTGGCCAATGATGATGCAAACAGCATGTCACGTTTGTGCTTTTGGACAAATCCGTTATCTGAAGTAAGGGAAGACTGGAAAGCACTTTTTTTAAACGTTCTATTGGTTGTTTCTGTAACAGGAATAACTTATTAGAATCCCTGATTCTGATATGTAATTTGTAACATAAATCCACGTAAAAAATCACGTGATTTAAAAATGGAGGAAGGTAGAACTACATGTAATGGCTGGAGACGGCTTGAATGGGTAATGAAGAAAAACTTTAATATAAGTTTAACATAACAGCAAATGTACAACGTTTCGACAAGGTTTTGTCATCATCAGGTACTACTAATTAGAACTACATGTATTCTGTACGCTGTGAACTGTGAATGGAGCTTGCCCATACTGGTGTGACGGTTATTATTATTAAGATAGATGTGGACCATATATTAACAATACATATAATGGAATGTTCGAGAGAGGTAGTTAAAGGGTAAAACTCTTTATGTTATAAGTTTGCATAATTAAACGACAAAATCATTAGTTAAAGGAATTGAAGTTAAGACTAGAAATTTAGAAAGTTTCTCTGCATAGCAACCGTTATTCCGATGGAACAACTCTAAGGAATCATTATATTTTAGTTGACACACTGTACAGGTTCGTACAAAGAATGTTTGAAAGGGGGGGTCTAATTTGTGAGGTCAAAAGTCAACACATATTGTGCGAAGCACAATCAACAAGCAAAGCATGCTAATGCTATGGGGGTCTGGGGGCATGGGAATATTTCCAGCCAATAATGATAATACTTCATCAGAAGAATGTATAATGCATAGAAAACGTTAAATACCGTAAGCATCTGCGCTATAAATATATAAACATAATTTTTTCATCACAAAACTATGGGGTGTGTACGTCTATGCTGTAAGCTCCATGTTAGGCCAAAAAGCAATCCATTTTCGAGAATGTGTAGAGTTAAAAACATACCCCAGAAACGCATAACACACTTAAATAAATCATTATTAACAACAATGAACAAGTTTTGGGTAAGGAATAGGGTACTGAGTATTAGCCCCCCATTGGCACAGCGGTACGTTTACGGACTTACAACGCTAGAAACCGTGTTTTGATACCCATGGTGGGCAGAGCACCGGTAGCCCATTGTGTAGCTTTATGCGTAATTACCAACAAACAAACAATGTTGAGTATTTATTACATTATTTACATAACAGGTATTTCAACGCTACCGTCAGTAAAACAACTAAAACTAATTGTTTTCGTTTGTATATAAAAAAGAGAGATTACAACTTTACTTAGAGAATTAGGGTTTAATTTTAAAAAACATTAAAATCTTCAGAAAAAACACCGATGTAGAAATGTAGAAAGTATCATACAAAAACTCATCTCTACAGTTTTATAAGACTTTGGTGAACATTCTGTTAAATCCTGTATTCTGGGTTCCCAAATTACATAAAACACCGTACAAATACAGGTCTTCAGAAAAACACCGATGTAGAAATGTAGAAAGTATCATACAGAAAATCATCTTTACAGTTTTGTAAGACTTTGGTAAACATTCTGTTAAATCCTATATTCTGGATTTAGGGCCCGGCATGGCCAGGTGGTTAGGGCGCTCGACTCGCAATCTGTGGGTCGCGGGTTCGAATCTCCCTCACACCAAACATGTTCGCTCTTTTAGCCGTGGGGGCGTTATAATGTGACGGTCAATCCCACTATTCGTTGGTAAAAGAGTAGCCCAAGAGTTGGCTGTGGGTGGTGATGACTAGCTGCCCTCCCTCTAGTCTTACACTGCTAAATTAGGGACGGCTAGCGCAGATAGCTCTTGTG